AAACATTTTATATTTGCCCATCTGTTTTTCTAACAGGCCATTTCCAAGTTCTCAACTCTACTTTTCAATTTGTTTCTCTGAAATAACAAAGTACTAAACAAACCATAAATATCATCATTTCCAAAACGTTAGAATGGTCCTTGCATCTGTGGCTAATATGATGATATTGCAATGGCACATTTATCTTAGTGTGTGCCAAAAAGAATAAAATGCCCTGATGTTTAAAGCAGTCATCCAAACTTGGAAACCATGGTACTATTTATTCTTGATAACAAATACATTTCTAGTGAGAACTATGGCTGTTTAAACACAAATAGAGTGGTGACAACCTGAGGACTGATGCATTCCCATTAAGTAGCTGACCAATATGACTTCAGATGGAATATATAAAAAACACCAAAATCCTTTTAATTACCTCATGTAATAGCCATCAGTTCTGGAAATGTCATTTAGAAAAAGTCTTTATTTGAACTTCAGCTGCTGAGTTTTTGTTACTGGACATTTACATGTTTGTTTAAGTGATCAATTGTTTTAATTAAGAGTGTAGGATCATTGGCTTGCTGTTTTTCAGAGGGCTAAGTCTTACCTCACTTGTACATATTTAGAGTGTATAAAGTGTCCCTTGTTAAGACGAGCATCTGAAATGGCTGTCCTATATATACTATAGCACACATTGATTATAGATTATAGTGTATGTATACCATACAGGATGTATTAGATGACTAGAAAAGTTAGATATGACTCAGATTTCTGTTCATTCATAATAATTATCTCCTCCTAAAATAATTTTACCCAGTTGAACTACTTTTTGGAGATAAGGTCACACTATGTAGCATTAGATGGCCTAGTGCCGGCTATGTAGATCAGTTATCCTCATACAGAATTCCACCTGCATCTGCACCTTAAGTACTGGGAATAAAAGTGTGCACCATCAATTCTGGCACTGAAAGAATTTTAAAGTCTATTAGAATGTAAGTTTTCATTTTTAAGCACCATTAAAATGAGATACCTAAAAAAATTTCATTTATTCCAAAAATTTATTTCAATCTTTCCAAAGGGATATTTGAACCTCTTTGATATGATAAAAAATAAAATTAAATTTAGGACTTCCAAACAAATATCCCTCATTAGCAATCATCATTTTATTTTATTTTTTAAATGAAACTACCTGACAGTTCAAATTTAAAAACAAAATGATGTTTTCTAAATAAAATACCATAAAGAGAAGGCACTTAAATACTGTACAAGATTTTCCCAGTCTGTGTTTTCAGTAATGCTAAACAACTTGAATTTATTTCTGTTCTAAAAAAAAATTCATCTAAGTGCTAGATTAAAACCAAATCATAATTTATAGGAGAGAATCAAGTTATCCCAATGTTTTACATCAGTAGGAAGCTTAGAATTTTGAGGAAAACCTGCATTTTTTGTTGTTACTATGTCCAGTCCATGAGCTGGAAAAGAGATATCCCCTTTCTATTCTAAAAAAATGAAGACAACTATTCTAACAGTAAAGCTTGTCAAGATAATTAAATGAATGATAACAAAATCTCAGCAGGGAAGTACTCATTAATTAAATTTATTTGGGAGCAAGTATAACCAAATTATCAAATTTCACTCACATTAATAAGTGATATTCTATAATAACTAATTACTGAAAATAAAAGGCCAGTAGTTTGAACCACTCACACAGACATAAACAAAATTACAAGCATCAAAGGACTGTCATGGTTATTGACAGCTTCCGAGAAATTCCATTCATCATCTTGTGAAAATACTTCAGTGAGATTTGCCAAAGAAAAGACACCAGTGATTCTGAAGCTATGGTGCCTGTAGTGCTGGGATCAGTTTCCCCCTTCTCTGTCTCCTTTGTGGATGTTCATATGCACATCAGTATGACTATACCAACAGTTGTGATCACTGCTGATATAAATGCAGGTTTAAGAATTGAGCATTGGCATTCCACTTCTGCAATAAAATCACACTGTGTACTTTGACTCCTTAGTATTGGGTGTGGTTGAAAATTGTTTTAACGTTTGTGTTGTTTTCCTTTTCTATGTGTCCAAAGGTCTACTATAAAGTACCATTCTAGATAAACTTTTATATTTGAAATGAGTGAAATTATTTCTGTTTTGAACTGAAAAATGTCTCCATATTTGATATTTTTGATGATTCAGAAAATTATATTCCAAATTACATGAAAGGTAATGAGTGTTAAAATTTCTTAAATAATTATAGCAAACTAGATTTTATTCACATTCATCATATTCCATAACATTTAAACTAGTAACTCTGGCATTTTAAGGTTTCTAAGTTCATAACATAAACAACCTTAATATTTTGATGTATATTGGCAAAAACTGTACTTAAAAATCAGCAAAAAATTATTTTTATTGATGTTTGTATTAATATAATAATTTTATCATTGTTTTGTTGATATTTAATTACAATTAAGAAAATCTGAATTACTAAATAATGCTAAAATATTTATTTAATGTTAGTTAGTATTCACTTTTCTCCCCAAAGGAAATTATCTTCTAGATAAATACAATCCAAACATGCTAGATAAAACTGAATAAAAATGTCAAATTTTACTTTCATTTAAAAATTATATTTCAGCTTTGCAGACAGCTAATGAAAGACATCATTTCGTGTTCTGGAAGCCAGTGTTGGCAATAACTCAACTATCTACTCACACAACTTTATAATCCCTTTGTCACATCACCAGAGGACAGCCCTAAAAAGCTGACTGCTTTGTCTTCCTTCCATTTCAGAAAACAATTGAGTTATGCTCTATTTTCTAAAATATTTCACCAAATTAAGATGAAGAGAGAACAATATGTTAGTGAAATGTAGTATGTGTTCATAGTAAGAACAACCACTAAAACATAATAGGAAGAATTTTCCAAGTGATGTAATTAATGGGCATGAATGTAGACATTCACATCTTATTTTGCTGCCACTTCTATTTCTGATCATATTGTTTAATTAATATAGTAAACGGTGGTTTGGCAATTAAACAGTGCTTCAGAGGCTCCATAGTTCTTTTTACTCATAATCAGTGACAGCTCAAAGTCTAAAGCATGATCAGGTCAGTCAACAAAGGCAAATAGACTACTCTGGATTTTGAAGACTTTGCTTATGATGAAGAATTGTGTTTTAAGTGGAACAATTCAAACATTTTATTGATATTTAGTCCTTTGAAGTAAAAGCTATAATCATATGCTTCTTGAAGTAGATTTTTATCTTTTAGTGTTCGCTCAATATCTTTCTTAGCACTTTCAAATTCTCTCGAAAGAGAACACTTCTTAAAATGTATGCTAACCACTTTTGTATTATGAGCAGAGATACCTTACTTCATGACATATTGTACCTTTTTTCTATTTTCCAATAGATTTTTCTCCTGGTGAGCAACATCAGAACTTGTGGGTTTTTTTTTTTTTTTAAAGAAAACAATGGATGTCATGTTTGTATGACACCTAGGGGAAGGTGTATTTAAAATTGCAAAAGTAATATGTAATATTTTTCATGAGTTCCTGGAATTTCTAAGATAGTAGCACTGAAATTTCAAGAGTCTCACTTGAAATGAGACCTGCTTTTCAATGCACAGCTGTATATTTTACTGTTGCCTATAATTCTCCAAAACCCCAGCTATTCTAGAAAAATGACTCTGAGACAGTCTTGTTTCTTTTGCTTTAGATTTCTTTCTTTTTTTTTTTTTTTTTGGAAAAACAAAATAAAAGACAAACAGCAATAAACATTTTAGCTCTTTAATGAGCAAAGACCATGTCTCTTAGCATTTGACTAATTGCCATTATCCAGATTATCTTTATTTTACCCAAGGACCACCGATGTGGTCGTAATTGATACACAAAGTCCTTCCCATCAAGTAGTATACAAGTGTTTTCTTTTGTATAATAAGCTTTCAATTCTTGAAAAAGTGTAGCTGGAAAGAAAGGTTTCTGTTACTTCAGTTAGTCAGAGAAAGTCCTTTGCGTTATCTTACAAACTATCAAAATTGCTAGTCATCTGAAAAAAGGTAAAAAAAAAATCACATAACTTTAGTCTAATAGAAATATAGTACAGATAAGAGAGAAATCATTTATCAGGATGTGCTCTTTAAGTCCATCTCATTTTTTTTAATATAAATGTACATCTGATTACATATACAAACATTTGGAAAGGTCTGTGGTATACTGATATTACTGGTAAACAACAGGGGATTCAGTTTCCTGTGGTCTTAGATAAATTCATTTGAAATTGCACATGTGTGAAAGACAAACCCTCCAGCTGTTGACTCTCCTAGGTTCTGCACCTATGTTATCCTCTACTGAGATCTCATGAGTAAACTCAAGTTAACCTCAGTGAGAAAGAGAAGCAATGTGAAGAGGGACTGATCTTTATATTGAATTATTAGTAGTAAGCATTTTGTCATGCAACATGAGTAAATCAATTAATTGAGAAATGTAATCAGAATGGTACTATGGGGGCATCCTTACACCCTACAAAACTGTGGCACTTTACCTTACCAAAAGGGACAAACTTCAGAGTAACAAACCTGCAGCAAATTAGAGATCCACAGCTAACATGTGTCCAATTAGAGTGCATATTTATAAATTACTTATATGGGAATGAAAAGAACATTAAACTCATAGGAAATTTTCTGGGACTCATATCAGCAAGTATTCATCACTGTACCTATAGTTTCTCCATTTTCTTTAATAACTATTCCCTCTATTATCGAAACTACTGCAAATTATTTTATTGTAATTACTTTTGCCCCTTGTAAAATCTTCTTTAGGTTCTGCCAATTGATGGAGGAAGCTCCTATTAAAAACTCCAATGGGATGAGAAGAATTTTAATTACGACTTAATCAGCAGCACAGCCACCAAGCATATAAATTATCATGCACATCGTGCTAAAAAGATCCAGTCTCCTTGATCCTCACGACTTAGTACTGACAGCACTTATGTGATAATGTTGTACCAGCCAGTCTTTAAACTTCTTTTTTTTACTGGCAATTTCAGCATGAGCCTTTGCTATGTCATTAACAGCATCAGTGCTCTATGTACTTATGCAAATATGGTCTACACAATAAAAGGGCTCCAAATGAAAACTGACGAAAATTATCTGACATTCCATTGGTGTGTCCCTTGTGCATATTCATAGTTGATTTTAATTTTGCTTTTCTTTTTTGTTTTGTTTTTTTTTTTAAAGTATTTCAGACACAGTACTTTCCTGTTTGGTGTTCCACATGCCTAGCTCCAGTATGTAAATTAATCTTCAACAAATTAATTCTTGAATGTGAATGAAAAGGTATCATTCAGGACAATTGCTTCAAGCAATTGAAATTTGTTTTGTTAAAGTTGATTTGTGTGTATATCTATATACAATTCATTTTTCAAAACCCCCAAAGTTCTTGATATGTATATTCACATAATATTCCTCCTTAGTTAAATAGTGAGAGTCTTCCAAGTTGAAAGCCAAGGAATCTTCAGTAATCTTTCACTGCACTCCATCAGAAAAAAAAATCAGTTTGTCTCTCTCATCTGGCTATACCCTGGTTGTTGAATGTGAATGAGGGTGGGGGTGGGGATGGGGCAGTGTATTGTTCTGTCCTCCAGTAAATGTATTGAATGTGTGTAGGGGCTGAATCCCTGGTATAGTGTTGGGAATCATTGTGATGGTGTTAGGTGTCATTAAAGGAACATCATCAGGTGACCTCCTCATAGCTAGGGTATAATCTGGGGGGCAGGCGGTCCTAAGAACCACCTCGTGTGGATGGATGGACTCACACTCATGCTCCAAATCAGTGTGCTTCATTTGGAGGGACATGATCTCTTCTTCTGGAGCATGGGTCAAGTCGTTGGTGGCTGTGCGCTGAGGGCTACACCTACGGTGGACGTCATGTCTCCTCTTATCCTTTTTGTAGTACAGTGCCGCAAAGGCCAAGATGTTCAAAAACAGCAGAGATGCTCCCACAGCAATGGTGACACTCAGCTCTGTGGAGTAGTCCCTCTGGTCCACCGAGAAGGGACTGGGCTGTTGTTTGGGATCATCCTGTTTGGCAGTGGGAAAGGCTGATGTGACAGGTGTGGAATTCTTCCTTGTAGGTCTGAGAGTGATGTCCGTTGATGGCACTTTAGTTGTTGTGGAGGTATACTGAGAAATGTCATTCAGATTATGCAGATGAGGTACCAGCTCCAACCATAGATTCACCTTATTGGCTCTGTAATGCTCTTTGACTCTTGGTTTTAATCCAATATGGAGATAAAGTTGGTCTTTCTGGGAATATCTGGTCCATGCTACTTCTTCAAATCGGTTGGGTTTGGTATGAATGAATTTTGTGTCTTGAGGAACTGGTTGATTTGGGTCACTAGGAAAAAGTATGGAAAGACAAGAAAGAATTTGAGTACAATACATTTTACCCCTTTCTTTCATCAAAATACTATGTTTAATGTCTACTTAAAGAGTTAACTCAGCAAAACTTTAGATTATGTTTTAACATTAACTTGCCTCCATTTAGAAATTTAAGTTTAAAAAAATGATGTGGATGATAACATAAAGCCAGTAAGTTTCACATTCTTGTTCCATGATCATTTAGGGATGAACTACCATCTATGCAAAGTACTTTTAATTATTTTTAGGTACAGAAACAAAGCTTGCCAACATGAGTGCAGTCTCTGAATCAATGCAAAGGTGGGAGGAAAGAACAAACTCCACAAAAAATTGTCCTCTAACATTTACAAGTACATCACAGCACTTCTTCCCATAAACATATAACATGCACACACACACACACACACACACACACACACACACACACATACACACACAGAGTAAACTAAAGCCTAAAGTATTTAATGTTCATATAATAGGTTTAACTTTTCTCAAGACAGTGCAACAGAAATGCCATTGTAGGGAAGAGTAAATTCAGGATTTGTAACTGGCATATGAAGAGATATATGCCATCACAGTGCTTAGCTACCCTACACAGGAGTATCTACCTGAACAGCAAAAACCCCAGGTTCCTTTCTGTGTTTAGTGAGATCCATAGAATCCAAGATGAGTGACTAAAATTCATACAGTACTATGAACTGATAAGTACACCGACGAAACAATGATACTTTGGCCTACGCCAGTGAGAAGCCCAAGTAATATTGTCCTGGAGTAATGAAATAAAGATACAATAAACTTCAAAAATGCAGAAGTTGTAAAAATTACAACTAATGAAAACACTACAAAATAGAAGTATTTTTTACTATGAAATTAATACACTGTTGATGTTGAAATACTACGTTGGGCTAGAAATGTAGCACAGTGATGAATTATGTTTTGGCATGTGAAAAGTCCTGGTTTCAATCTCTGGTAGCATAGAAAAAATAAACAACATGCACACAAAACTATGTTAGACAATTTAAGCAATACATACATTGTTCAAGAATACTTAAAATGGTATTTCTTATTAAAATTATAGCAATGTTCATTTCTCAGATACATACCCTGTTTTAGCAAAATTCGTCCAATATGTCATTACTACTGCACTCAACATCACATCATTCTTGGAGAAATTGCAAGGAAATAACTCTGTAGGGCCAATCATGGGGATTCCCAACACATAGGGAACCTCATCTCCATGAGCTGCATCAGCCCAAGCTGGAACTTGATCTGTTTGGCAATGATGATAAAAGGCATAGAAGTATGTAGGTGAACCAAAGTTCGAGTGAAGGTCTGCTGTAGCCACAGCGGGTGCTACCCACTGATGGTCCGTAAACAAAGCCAACAATGTCTTCCTTCTTGTTTCAGGGTTATGGCGATCAGCCCAGTCAGTATACATGAATTTAATGGTTTCTCTCAAAACATCTTTGCCTTCAGGATATCCATATAAATTATCAACAAAATTAGAAACAGCAAAGTCAAAATCACTGGCTGATATACCATCATCACTATCTACTATATTTTCAACAAACTTCAACCCTTCCCCTTGGTTAACTCCTAACATTATATCATAGTTGAGGAACTCTCCTTGTTCCATCAGTATCTGAGGATCATCTGGTATTACATCCCCATCGATCACAGGTCCAAAGGCTATGTGGTATCTGGCTGGTTGAACATCTTGATCAACAAGTTCTTTGTAAGGCTTCTTCTGAAGACATTCCACTAACTCTACTGTATCTGACACATTGCAGCCAACCTTTGTGGCCAGCATTCTAGCATATTTTGCAGGCTGGAAACTAACAGCCCAGCTTGAAAGAGCTGTTCCACTCTGAGCTATTGCTCGTTGAAAAAGTCCTATGAGGAAATAAACAGAGAGTTTCAGGAGATCATTGAAGAATGTTACAGACCCAAATTAACAGCTGATATTTTAGACAGTTACTTTATTTAAGTTATCCTCAGGGTATAAAACACCAGAGAAATTTGTTCTGGTCTTAAAATCCCAGCAGAATTTGCTTTGGGTTTCAAAATTTTGCATTCACAAAGAAACAGTGAGGAGAAGAGGTGAGGTTGGAAAGCATGGATATTTAAAGGACTCAGATATTTTACCCCCTGATTAGTAGACATGATCATTAATAGTGATAGGGACAATTACTTCATCTGCCTCCTCATAAGCCTATATTGTCTGTTTGGAAAATTTCTTTCAATTTGGCTGCACATTTATCTTCACACAAAATGATTGTGTTATGTTTGTTTTAACTAGATTTTGTTTGAAAAAAAATAACAATTGTTTGGGCTTCACACAGATATTATGATTAGGGATGTGTCAATACCCTGGGGATGTCCTTGATATTACACAAAACAGAATATAACTTATGACATACTATTACAAGATCTCTCTAGCAGAAATTGTACAATCAATATTCATCTGAAGAAGGCAACTTAAGAAGTGCTCTACTAAGTTAGGTTAAAACATCAGCAGGAACAGTGTGAAAGGCTAATTAAACCATTAAATTTTAAATTTGTGCTGTATTTTATCATAAAACATGACACACATATGGGCCAGTTGTTTTTTTTTTCTTGATTCATTTAAGGGCTATAAATTATGACTATGTATACAGTTTGTTAACAAACAAATGCCATTAATATTTACAAATACACTTGATTCACTGGAGTGTTTGCAAATACTATTCTTTTAAAATATATAGATTATCTATTTATTTAAAAAAATAATGTTGATTATCCACTCCCAGATTTGGATAAGTTTTTATTCATTTAAAAAACATGCTTAGTCATTTATATACTTTAAAAAGAATGTAGATCTTTACAGAAAATGTGGAAGTCATGTCTAAATCGTTTCCAGAGTTTCTCCATATATGCATATGTTCTTACATATGCCATTTATGTTTCTAGACAATTTTGAGAACACTCAAAGGGTTTCTTGAATCCATTTTTTTTTGATAGGGCAAAGTTCACCAGAGCAAACTGTAAACATTTTGGCAATGTAGCAAATGTAGGGGCTGTTGATATTTGAGCGGAAAAAAAAATTTACTAATTAAATATTTATAACTAAAATAAAATGGGTCATAAAAATAGTATTCTTTCTTATCTCAGGAACTCAGTGACATTAAATATCCCAACAGTTATTATCACATTATGTTAAATATCATTTGAAACATGGTGACTAGAAGATTCAAGGAAAGCTATTTATTTTCTCTTTTGTGAGAAGGCTTTGATATATTTATGTGAGAGGATGGTGACTTCTAGAAGCTCCATACCTCAGAAGTATGGAGTCCATCATTGGATTTATAGCCTTAATAAAAGAGGTCTGCATTGTAGAGACTATTTGACAATTTCAGGAATTGTCTCTGCCCTTCCTGGTAGGACGAGGCAGCTCTTGAGAGTGTTTTAAAACTAGATCAAGTTCAACTTTAAAACTCCAGTCAGACATAGTGTTTAAATCTCTATTCAGGATATTTCATTAAGGAGTGTGATGGGAGGTGACACTCAGTTGTTTACTGAAATATTCGTCACTGCTTACTGTCCTGCCAAGTGATGAGCACCTGGTGAATGGATTTGTATCCTTATCCAGTGCTCTGGTGATAGTGGCTGACACTGGGCCCACATCTGATCAAATGACCCAATAGTTCTGTGCAGGTTGCCCAATGCTAACTTAGCTAATATTAGCACTCATTTCCAACCAAGGATGGGAGAATCTAATCTGCTTAATTAAAAGACTCTAACTTTATCACTTCAAATTAAGCAATTTTATTATAGAGCAGCACACCTACTCAATTAAAAATGTTACACCTTAACATAATGTTACTTCAAATCTGAATCCTACTGTTGTTAAATGAGATGCCTTATATTCAATGACAGTAAGTTAAGGGTATATAAAATGTGACATTCTAATGATTAGCTGTTCTCTTAGAATTCCAAATGTATCTTTGATAACGAAAAATGTGTTATGAGCATATATTGCCTTTTCTTGAGGCTGGAGAGATGGTTCTGTGTTAGAGTATAATACTACATGTCCTTTCTGAGGACAGAGCTTGGTTCCCAGCAACCTTATCCAGTGACTTGCAACCACCTGTAATTCTTATTTCCATAGACTCTGATGATTGTAGCCTCTGTGGGAAGTGACATTTGCATACATATGCTACCCCTTTAATACATAAACATAATTACAAATTACAAAAGTAACTATTTTATATTTGAAACTGATATTCTCTATGAATTTCACTTGACAACAAATAACCTGATTTCCTAACACATATAATAACAACTAGGAAACAGAAAATCAAAGATGGTCTTTGTTGATGTATATTCTGTTTTCTTCTTTGTTACATATAAATAATAGAAAGCATTTGCTTGGTGAGTTTCTTCAAACAGCACTTCGGTTCTCACATTTAATAATGGAATTGCAATCTAGTCAATAATGGAGTTTCTAATGAGAGACTGAATGCCTGATAAGATGGCTGGCACTTTAGAGAAGTACTAAAAGCTATAAAATGGAAATAAAAATACTTTGTGGACTGAAGAAGGCTAGTGCTCTATGCCACTTTTCTAAGTTTTAGGAGGAAAAAACAAATTTGAGTTGAAAATAGAAAAAACACACAATCAAATGTGTTTTTCTTTGTAATCAAGGGCTCTACTAGTGACCTTAATGCTTTGACAATTTTGGATCACGCATGCAAACTAATCAAATAACCAATCCTTTCTTAGGCAGCAAGAAGAATCACATGTTTCCACATAAGCTAGCTTTTGACTGCCTCATTAGTTCCATACTAATAAAGAGCTTCAAGTATTGATGTCCCTATGTTTAAAATACTTGATTTTGATTACTGCTAAACAGAGAAGACATTGTTGAGAGTTTCTCTGATTTCCCCTCAAATCACCCTTGAACAAAAAAGAAAATGACTGCGATACTAAGCATTCTGAAGTGGACTTGGAAGAGCATATTACCCAGCTCCACAAAGACAGAAAAAAAGAGTCTGACAGAAATGTAAGCATGCACTGAAAGGCTAAAAGAAACAGCTTTAAACAGTTACTAAGCCCAACCTACACTCAGTTGGAACATAGAAATATCTACAGAGCATCACGTAGTACTGATGGTGGTGGCATGCAGACACCAAAATTGTCAAAATTTGCAACCTGCATAATACCTTTGGTTGAATTGCTCCAACGGTTACCTTCAGAATAATGGGATAAAGTCAGCAGGTTGACACATGAACCCCCAGCGCCTGATCCAAAAACAGTGATTCGCAATGGGTCCCCACCAAAGAACCCAATGTTCTCGCTAGTCCATCTTAGGGCCTGGATGAGGTCAAGGAGCCCGTAGTTTCCTTTGGCAGCCTGATCCCCTGTGCTCAAGAAACCTGGAAAACACAAGAAAAAAGAAACCTTAGAATGAATGTTGCAGTTAATATGAATTAAACATACATTAGGTTTAAGTTTGTATGAGGCTTGTCCTGATCACCATAAAAGCCAAGTACTTTAGTGAAAGGTGTTTCCATTCAGATAAAATCACTGATCTTTGGAAGAATAATAATGACAAAAACATGAAAAGTAATGTTTATCTTCCCTAAATGCTTTCCCATTAGAAAAAGAACAAGTCACAAAGATGAGCAAAGACATGGAAAAGTCTGACAGACACAAAGACATCCATTGCCAGAGACTAAATTCTTTTTTGCGGGGAGGAGAGGGAGGTTATTTTTCTATTTAAATTTGAAATAGCATGTTTTACATGTCAATCCCGGTTCCTGTACCTTCCCATCCTCCCCAGTTTCCCCAACCAATCCCCATCTCACCCCCTTTCTGTTCCCCAGGGAGGGTAAGGCATTCCATGAGGAGTCTTCAAAGTCTGTCATATCATTTGGAGCAGGGCCTTGGCCCTCTTCCATGTGTCTAGGCTGAGAGAGCATCCCTCTATGTGGAATGGACTCCCAAAGTCCATTCTTATACTAGGGATAAATACTGATCCACTACCAGAGACTCCATTGACTGCCTAGTCCTCCTAACTGACACCCACATTCAGGGAGTGTGGGTCAGTCTTATGCTGGTTTCCCAGCTATCAGACTGGAGTCCATGAGCTTCCCCTGGTTTCTGTGGGTTTCTTCATCCTGGTCTTGATGCCTTTGCTCATCATTTCTCCCTCTCTGCAACTTGATTCCAGGAGTTCTGCTCAATGTTTAGCCGTGGATATCTGCTTTTGTTTCCATCAGCTAGAAGAAGGCTCTGGGATGGCATAAAAGGTAGTCATCAATCATTATTAGGGAAGGGTACTTATTGCGGTTAAATAAGGATCAGGATAAACAAATAGGCCAAATAGATGTTTATTCAGGGGGAAATAACTTAAAACCTAGACAGATGAACACCAGGAAATGATGCTCTCCTGTCTGAGTTCCGCCAGCAAGAGAGCTTTTCCTGGCTCTTCCTCTGACCTCCTTCCACAGGTCACTTCTGCCCATGGCTCCACCCCCAATGGTCAGTGCCACAGGTACTTAAGGTATCCTCTCCACTATTGCTTAGATTGTTAGTCCTAGTTATCCTTGTAGATCTCTGGACATTTCCCTAGTGCCAGATTTTCTTAAAACCTATAATGACTCCCTCTATTATGTTATCTCTTTTCTTGCTCTCCTCTATTATTTCCCTTACTCAGTCTTCCTGCTCTGTCATACCCACCTCTCCCCTGCTCTTTCTCCTAACTCCCTTCTCCCTTCCCTATGCTCCCAATTTGCTTGGGAGATCTTGTCCCTTTCATCTTCTCCAGGGGACCATGTATGCAGAAACTAAATTCTTGACGATGACACAAAAGCATGTAGGGAAACCTATAAGACTGTCTATTTTGAATAACATGCCATGTTACTCTCCAAATTGATTGTGCTCAAACCTGGTCAGAACTCCAATGTAGAATGGTATGTACAATGCATGTAGATGAGAGGTACTTGTCTAAGCTTTGTGTGAAAAGTGGTCTAGGGGTTTCCTGAAATTCTAAAGAAATTTGTTGCATGTGTGTTTACCTACATATGTTTAGCATGATGGGCTACAAGTAAGAAAGAGTGACTGTGATAGATATACTGTGAGAACACATACTTTTGCCAGTATAGAAAAGCAAAGGCTTTGGAAGATTTCAGACTCTGACCATTTCTAGAATGCTCAAAATTGCATGATAACAGAGTTGATATGTAGCACAATCAGTGTATTTTGAAAATAGGTACAATTAAGGTAGGGAAAGACAGGAAAGGCCTTAACTAACAGGATGTCATAGGTAACTGGAAAGGGATATGTTTGAGATAAATGTGGTGGGCAAAGATATAATCCCTCACAGGTTCAAGGACAGCCAATTCCACATAGAAAGTTCCAGGCCAGGCAGTAACATGTAAAAATAAGACAGCAATAAAAGCTCAGTGATTTTCTTATAAATGGAAAGTACAAATGAGACTATTTTAGAACTATTTCAGTATATTCCTATTTTGCTAACATGGTGGATATTATACTGTGTGTATTGTACACTGTAAAACAGAAAATGGAAAATTCTACATAGAATATTATATTTTATGAAGTATGTATATCTATGAAAAGCTAACCCTGAGCCTGGCCACTATGGAGTACAGTTGCAGTCTTATTATATATAAATTGATGAGGAATACTCAGAGATTCTCAGCAAGTTTGTGGAAATGAATTTTGAAACCTCTCAGATAATGCAGACTTTGAATGAGTTGAGTCAATATGATAATTAAAACACTTGATTTGAAATATACATTTGTCTTAAAAAAACAGCTAGGAAGTCAATTTTATTTGTGAGGAAAAAAGAACTATGAGGACAGTACCTACAAAAGGAGTAAATGAGTTTATCATCAAAATTGAAATATGAACAATTATTTTAAAAATTATATTACGTATATACACATACATGTCATGCAGGCACATAGGTGGCACACACTGCATGCAGAATTTGGGGAAACTTTGGAAGTTGCTTCTTCTTGCCTCCTGTGTTGACACAGAATGTCCTTTGTGTCATGTGTATGATGCCATGCACTGGATTCTCAGAAGCTTAGCCCATGAGCTTGAAGCCTATTCTCCCGTCTCTACCATCCAGGTTTCTATTCTGCCACTGCATATATCCTGGGATTGCAAATAAACACCACTGCATTTGGCTTTCTACATGAATCCAGGGAGTCAAATGTGGGTTCCCTGGCTTGCTCAACCTGAAATCTTTACTAGTCATTGCAGCAAAAAAATAGATGAAGTTAAAACCTCCTGAATGTCTTTGAAATGAAGGCTCATTAAACCTTCTTTTCCTACAAGCTAAAAGTGTTTTCAGATTAGACAGGTAATCTTCAACTGGATGTTACTTAAGTATATATGAGGCTTGTGCTGATCACCCTGCACTCAGGAGAAAATGGCAAGAAGAACACCTGTTTTTAATTAGGAGAGATTACACAATAAGCCCATGTAGATATATGCAGCCTCTAGTAGTGTGTGTGTGTGCAATTTTGCACATTTTACCTCGGAAATATTATCTGTGAATCTGGGATAACCTTTTAACAAATATATTTTGTTGAGCAAATATCTTTCTGGTCAAACCTATTAGTTTTTGTTGAATTCATAGAATATTTGGAGGTAATTTCCTTTAGGTCATCTTGCTTAGACAGTTTCGAATTCTCAATTAGATAGTAGTATATAAAACAAAAGCCTTTCTGAAAACTCTTTTAACTATATTTGCTTTATGTGAGCTTTGATATAACATAGAGTCATAGATGTACATTTGGGGAAAAAACTGTTAATCTATGAGAATAAACTGCTCTGACATCATGAAATTTGAAAACAACATTGTGGAAAGATTTCCACCAATTAGCTAGAAAGTTATGGAATGATAAAGAATTCACATGTGTGTGAATATGTCTATGCACATCAGTGTATCCTTGTGAGCATAAGAATGAATGAAAAAACAAAAATGTGACAATCTAAGTTTATTACCTATAATTTTATATTAAAAATTGCTCAAGTGAAGAAATGAATTTTGAGTGTATCTTCAGCCACTCAATACAAAACACGAATTTCTATTGATTTTCTTATAAAATAATATTGAAAAGCTTCAGTTACATTCAAAAGACTCTCAAAGTTCACACAGGATTGATTTATTAATAGCATCATCATTTAATGTGTATCATGTAGAAAATTGCTGTAATGAGACAACTGACTTCACAGTAACTAAATAGTTACCCATCTAGAATTCCACTTTTAGTGTAACATGTTTACCATATTGGTTCATGGGTCTATTCATTTTGTTTTCATGGAACAATACTGCAAAACATATATCTCTGAAGAGTAGTTCTCTTTTTACATATAGTTAGTTTTGAAGAAAATAAAGAAGCTGTAAAAGTAGTATTATTACGCCATAATAATGACAACGGAGCCAAGCATATTGTACAAGTCAAGTCTGTTATGGAATGTCCAGGATCACTTGTTAACCTTCATTTTTACTCAATTTTATTTCATCTATATTTGAGGTCATTTCTAGATCTATCTATCATCTAGTATCAACCCATCTGTAGCATTTTTTATCATCTATCTAGTACATCTCTCTAATAACTAATTTATCTGCCTATCATCTGTCTGTGCTTGTAACTAAAACTTAGCAATCTTCATTCACCTATCTAGTATCTATCTACTTACTATCAGCTACTTTGCAATCTATTGTTTGCTATTTGTCCGTATCTCTCTCTCTATCCATCTCTCTCTCTCTCTCTCTCTCTCTCTCTTTATCTCCTACCCATTTTTCTTTCTTCTTCTTTGGTATCATAATCATTATTTATCTATATCTATTGATCTACTTATTTATCTAATCTTTTTGAAGTCAAATAGTTGCAATATATAACTTATAGCTTTACTTCAAGTTTTATATTAGGTGAAATGATGGCACTTCTCATCATTAACTGCAACTAACCAGTCAATTGCATCTCCTCAGACTCAGTAGAATGACACATTTGTATGAATTGCTTGATTCCTGATCCAATCAAAAAACACTCTAATTACCAAGAGATAAGCTTTTGTGGACTGTTTTTTATATCCCAATATGCACTGACATATTATTTTAAAGTTACTTTTGCACTGAGTGTGCTGCTACATCATTATAGCAGAATAACTTCACACAACTGTAGCTAGAACTTCACACTGAACTGCTTGATTATAGTCTATCTTCAGGGGGATTCAATTATACAGCATAGTGAAAGCACTTCTTACTTTCTTGAATAGATTTTCCCTTGGTGTCATTTAAGTCACTCTTAATAAATCTTCCCACAACTCATCTGCCCTTCCCTGGCATTCACTGTCAAGTCCTGGAACACGTGAATAATGTATGCCCTCACACAAT